CTGCCAGAGGGCCCGGAGCTCGCCAGCAGAGTGCCAAGGCACCAGCTCTGGGTGGGAGTCTGCAGGAGGCACAGATCAGTGGGGAGATGTGCTACTTCACTTCTCCCTCGCTTGCTCCTTCCTGGGTAACCTTTGCTGACAAAGAAAAGGCATGGTGGGGGTTTTTTTTTGGTTTGTGTTTTTTTTAGTCTCCCTCTTGGCAAGTTATTGCTCACCAAGGGGGTTGGAACTAGATGACCTAAGGTCTCTTCCAGCCCAAGCCATTCTATGGCTCTATGGTCCTATTTAGTCAGTTGTAAGAGAATAGCCTTAGTTTTCTAGCTACAGTGAAAAATGTGCAACACAGGTAGTGTATCATTACTTCCTTGGTAAACTGGTTAGCAGTGTGCACAACCTTGCTCTTGAAATAATGGCTTCTGTATTGGAGGTGTGACTGTTAGAGTCATCACTTCTACCGGGACGTTATTTTTATGTAGACAAGGCCTTAAACAAGGTCTTATTGGGTTCTTTTCTAAAAAAACCCTAACAAACCCTAAAGCCTACAAATGGTACAAAACTAAAAAACAACCCAGCCACAAACCCCTATACCATCCCCCCCCCCCATCTCCAAACCCAATAACAAACTTCAAATCTTGTGTGAAATATAGAAACTACAGGCTCTTTTTGCCATATAAGCACCTGACTAGCATCAGCAGGTGGAATGTGGCTATTCAGCTGGACTGTCTGCAGATGTTGCAGCTTTGCTGTAGTCCAGCCTCTCTGATTCTCCTTTCTCAATGGGAAATGGGTATTCTGTCATGGAAGACAGTGAGATTCATAAGATAGAAATTAGGTCACTGATTATTGTTGTTTTAATATTAGCTGAGCTTACTTCTCAGTTATCCATTAGGTTAATTACAATTCCATGAATGAAGTTCCCTGAAATGTCATTATATTGATTCCCCAAACCTATAGAAGTACAGTACCTCTTCCCTAGTCTATGGAATTGTGGATGCCTGAACTTGCCCAGGGGTTCAGGATGGTCTCAAGCATACTGCAGAGTGCACTATGGGCTATGTGCTAAGCCCAGTTCTTCTGCAGCTATCTCAGAAAGGTTAGCTTATACCCTCTCTCTTTGTCCCTTTTACATTGCTCCTTCCTGTTTTTTTCTGCAGACACTTTTACTTTGCGAACCTGTAGAGTTGTGAGGGCTGTCTGATGTGGGCCATGACTGCTTTCTCTGGGGCAGCTCTGAACAGCACAACTGTACATGGTGTTCTTTGGGTAAAACTGCATGCCTGGAGATGACTTGGCACAGAGTCTGGCTTTCATGTTAACCCGGGACTTTTGCAGCATCTGACAGCATTGGGTACCAGGATCTGTGATGCAGGGAGCACATCAAGCACATGACTGAACCTCGGCCTGGGAAGGCAACTGCTGATTTACAGGTGTTTCTGCAGTATATACTTGATTTCTTAGGAATTCTGAGCTGTGGGGAAAGAGGTGGGGACATTGCAGTTGTCAGGACACATGGATTTTGCCATGTGGACATGGATGTCTGTAGAGGCAGCAGGATGATGTATGCACTGCAGAACAGCCTGTGCTCACAGCCACTCTAAAAGTACTTTTGCATGACCAGCTATGGTGGCACAGCCACTGAGCTCAGACAGATCCTTTCTGTAGACTGAGTGCAAGGCCATAATTCTCTTATTCTCTTGGTGGGGGGAAGGAGTCAGTAATAATAATCCTTAGCTTAGTGATTTTCACTTTTTTTTTCTTATGTCTAAATTTCTTTGGAAGCCAGCTAAGAGAGGGCCATGATTCGAAAAATGCTGGAGTATTCCTTAAGAGCTTCTTAAATATTTATATTTAAGAAAACATCTAAAGGAGTAGTGAACAGACCGCTGTCTCTTTGAGAAACACAGAAAATTAGCATAAGAGGTACAGTACATAAAGAATAACATGAAGTTACATTAGGCTATAAAGATAATAATGTTGAGGGGTTTGCAATCCCCTAGTCTCCCAGTGATTTCTGGCATAAAGCAATAGAAGATCTTTTTTTCAATGCCTTTTACTTATGTGACAATGATAGTAAAGAAAATAAGGTGTCAAACTTGTAATACTCTGTGAGTAGTATTCTCTAAATCACAGTGATCTAGTACACTATGTTGACCTTTTCAGGATTGTGTGACTATTTATAGCTGTGCCGAGTAGCATGGCAAGAGTGAATGGATACCGGCTAATGAAGATAGAGAATATTGGACAAGTCAAGTGAAGGTACTATATTAGAACATAATCTAATATTTCACAAAATGTGTAGCATTAAGTATTGAAATTCTGATAAATCATTCTTGGGACAAAATGTATAATGAGATTAGAAATTGCAACAAAAAAAAGAAAAATTAAGCCTTTCTAATGACATAGATTGTGCCTAGGCGGGGAAATGGTGTGAATTTAACTTGATCTCATTATACTCCTAAATTTGTAATCTTATTTTCCTCCTCAGATGCTTCACTTAAGAAGGCAGCAGTGTGTGTGTATGTGTGTGATTGGCTGTGATACTTTCTATATTTGGGAAAAGTTACTTAATCCTTCAATTTGAGTGCACCAGGAAGTGAGTGATCCTCAAAGCAGGGGGAATCTTCCCTCCTAAGATTTGGAAGAGTCTTTTGGTTCTTATTCAAGGTTCTGCAGAATGCAACCAAAGTTGACTAGCTCCATACATCTTCCTCATTCCAGTGGTTTCAGCCCTTAGCCTGTTCCAGGCTGTGAGGAGAGACATATGCAGAATAATTAGAGCAGAGAACACCACCACTGGAACACTGATTACAAAGATGAGGTTTCAGCTGTCAGCACTGAGCAAAAGCTATGGTCTGAACCATAGCACACCCGCACTGGACCTAGGAGCCTCTCTTAGCCAGTCATTACCCTCTGGATTATGATTTCTCACTCACTTGCTCAATGAAGTGGATGGCTGAGGGGGAGGCAGGAGGGAAATGAAGAATGTTATTTCTTTGGAGCATGTTATGTCTTTTCTTTTTCCCTATTTACCGTACTCTTTCAGATATGCTGAGTACTAACTGATTGCACCCAAGGCTCTGACAGTTTTTAACTGTGCTCATTTGTCCTCAGAGGAAAAAGGACATAAGAAGAACCTGCTTATTTCTATGCATCCGTAACAGAAGATGTGAGCATGTGCAGGAGCATCTTTCCCAACATGTGCATACATAGGTTAAGTCACAGCTGAAGTAACAGAGGCCTGACCTAAAAAATCCTGTATGATCTCCTGCCTTGTCACAGAGAAGGAGAGAGATAATGTAGAATCCAGGTTTTAAGTTGCTGTCAGGGCTGGATATGCAGTGATTTCTTTCTCAGCCTTGGACTAGGAATATGCATGAGCAAGTAAATGAGACGTTTAGGAGCTTGAATTAGTCTCTTCTCTTAGCAACTTCCTTCTTCCCACACCTCAAAACACTCTAACCAGTCCTTCCCTCTTTATAATCCACCTCCAGCATTTGAGCAACAGAGAAACTTCCAAATGCAACTGCTTTCAACGTGAATCCATCTAACATAAGTGTTCGGCCAGAGAGACAAGATGTGGGGAAAGGTGGATGGCAGAAGCTTGCTTCTGCTCCACTCGCTGAGGCACCAAGGCCAGGAAGCTACCAACAAGAAGCTGTGTGTATTGCACACAGACTCCAGGCTCCTGGCTGTGCTGCCTTACCTGAGTAACTAATAGCTGTAGTATAATTGCAATGCACAATTCAGTCCTATTTTTTTTTCTAGTTTTGACTTTGTCAGTTCATAGCTTGCACAGCACTAAATAGAGGATCTCTGTGCTGTGGGACACCCATGCGGAACTTCCTGCAAGTGTACCTGAGCTAAGCACTCCTTCCTGGGGCTTTCTTTCCTCATTTCCATTTATCCACCACTCACTTCCAGCTGTCCCACTCATTCCTGTTTTCTGTCTCTTTCCCACTCTGTCTCTTGGTGATAACCACTGCACCTTGTTGCACCCCTTCTCCACTCTCGTGGTTTCTCTCTCAGTTGTCAGTTATAAAGCTCCATTTTCCAAACTGTTCTTTGTGTCCCTAGCATGAGTCCCTGCACGTCTGTTTTGTTACTGTTGACGCTGTGGTACCTCTACGTTATCTTTCTCTCTACTGCCCTAGTCCAGCAGAAATCTATGCAGAAGAGCACAAGGTGAAATCTCCCGTCAAATCTGTGCGAAGTTGCAGTAGCCCATCTCTGGGAGCTGAGGTGCAAAACAAGAAGTAGCTTTTCCTAAAAATAAGCATGTTGATACTTGAGGGTAAGGGAAAGATGTACAAAAGCTTTTAGGATGGTTGATGTGGTACAGATTTTCACAGCGAAGGCAACAAGTACATTTTTAACATAAAAAGTGCCTCCTGCCCTCAGATCCCCTCATCAAAGTGTGATACGGAAAACTGGTATTTTTTCATTTCCTCACTTAGAGTTACTTCTAATCTGGGCAAAGCTTTGTGGGTACATGGTGCATTACATTTATATTCTATACTCTACAGAGCTAATTAAGTCGAGGGAGGCAGATAGTGGGGTAGAGCATGGAAGTTTAGCAAAACCATTAGCAGCTGAAAACATTTTCAGAATGGAAAGTGTTGGGCAACTTGGGTACTATGCAGAATTAGCACTTATGTCAGTAGTAAATAGTAAATAGAATGACTGGAAACAGCATTGAAGAAGGTGTGTGACCGTGGGTGATGCGGGAAACTTTTTGTTCCCGGAAAATTACTACCATGTATGGTTCTGTGTCTGTAAAGTTACCACATGTGTGAGGATTGTGCTCTGTTGTTTTAAATATGGGTGCCTGGAAGGTGGGTTTTCTTCATACAAAAAATGTTGTGGATTCCACACCCTCTCACCACTTAGCTTCTGGAAGCATCATGATTTTTAGCTGTCAGTGAGGAGGAAATTGGTAATAGAATTTTTAATTTGTTTTGTTTTTTTTTTTTTTGGTTACAGATGTATTTGGATTAAAAAAAAGTTGCCACAGTGTCTCATCTCCTGGTTAAGTGGATATGTTTATGAATAAGAGCTTTTCCATGAAGGTAAGGAGAAGTTACATTGTGGGAGTCTCTGTTGTGTGCATCAGGGAAGAAAATGTAGTGTAGCTTTTGACTAGCCATTGGGGAGATAGAGCAGCAAGTGACGACTCCTTCCTTTTCCTACACTTCTGCAAAGCTGTTGCACGTGTGTTCTGCCCTTCATGACTTCCTCTGGGGATGGGTATGTATGTTGTGCATGTATCTGTTCATGAGTTTGTGTATTTCACTTTGAGTCCAGCAACACAGAGGTCAGTCTTACTAACAAGAGACTGTATTTTGGTAGAAAAGTTTATAAAAGCCAAATGTTCCAGTATCACTGTATTCCATTATTCAGAGTGGCTACGAAGAAGATGGAGACTCCCTCTTTACAAGGAGTCACATGGAAAAGACAAGGGGTGATGGGCAGGAGTTACTCATAGAATGGTTTGAGTTAGAAGGGACCTTAAAGCTCATCTAGTTCCAACCCCCTGCCACGGGCGGGGACACCTTCCACTAGACCAGGTTGCTCCAAGCCCCGTCCAACCTGGCCTTGAACACTGCCAGGGATGGGGCAGCCACAGCTGCTCTGGTTGCAGATGAGGAAAATTTTTCACAGTAAGAACAATCAGCCATTGGAACAATCTCCTCAGGGAAGCCGTGGATTCCCTGATGTTGGACGCTTGTAGGACTGGGCTGGACAGAATGCCTGGCCGTCTTTTCTAGACCGTGCTTTTGCCAAGACCGGTTGGACCAGATGATCCTTGAGGTTCTTTCCAACCTGGTATTGTATGAGTCTATGAAATGTATTTTCATTTTGCCTCTTGTCTGCCAGACCAAAAGCCTGACTGGTTCCCTGCTGCTGTTTGGTCAGTCCCTTATGGCCTAGTTGGGTCTAAGTCTAGGGGGAAGTCCATCACCATGCCCAAAACCTGGGGGCCAGTAAGCTCACAGCTCCTCCTTCAGACTTTCTGCAGTTTCCCAAAGTAGTTTTCTCCCTGGGTTGCCCAGCTTCTACTGCTGACTGAGCCAGGAGGCTTGAGGTGTCAGCAGAGTGGGTTCCTAATCCAGGGGCAGTCTTGAACAGTCAGGAAAGAACTTCTATTGCACAATCACCAGCCCTTCAAGCAAGCATACTGGAAGTATTTGCATTTCTCAGGTTTTGTTTTACATAAGCCCAAAGGAGAACAAAGTAACTTTAAAAGCAAAGATAGTCCTTTTGAGGACAGATCTCCTTTTATGTTTTACTTCACCTCTTCCAAGGTGAATCCTTTTTGCCTGTCTTGTAACAAAGCTTGGAAAGCCACTGTGCCATGGCACAGGGTATTCAAGTGCTTAGCAAAATGTACCCCTTTTTCACCTGCAAGAGCTTATCTTTGCAAGAACCTGTGCTCTGGCTGCTGCTGTGCTGTGGTGCTGGGGTTGAAATAGCAAGCTCTGCTTGCTATTCTCTCTCTGCTGTATCTTTGAACCCCAGTAATTCTTCTGCTGGCAAGCCTCTTCATCACAGGTGCCAGAAGGTCACTTTTTGAAAAGGGTTTGTGAAACAACCATGCGTAATGCTTGTGTGCAGTCTTCCACCTCTTGTCTCAAATACATAAAGAAATACAGTGTCAACCATTCTTGATTATAGTATCTTGCCCTTCAGGTGGAAAACCAGAAACATATCCAGAAAAATATGATAATAACTGAAAGCTATCAATATATCTGGGGGAGGAATGAATTTTCCATATTGAAGAAAACTGGTGGACTGGTAGTGGGTGTCCCCCCACTCAGATGGGAAGAACAGGGTGGGTTTTAGTTTGAATTGCATGGAAATTGGACCATGCTGCATTGAAAGTCCACCTGCAGCTGGAAGCCTCAGTATACCGCAGTATGCAGTCTCAGTTCAGAGTTCAAAGAAGAGAAACTTGCTTTTGCAACTAAAGCTATCAATTAATATTTAAAATAGAGCATTATGAGCTTTAAGTTAATATTATGCTTGTTATCTTTCCCTTTTCTGCATTTATGGGATGTTTTGTGTGATTTTCCCCACCTTGCTGTGTTTGCCCCACCCTTCATTAGAGCCATTACTCACAGCTTTTCGATGTGCATTCATCTGCTGATTAAGTGGTTTTCTGGCAGCATTATGTGTGGTTAAATATGTATATTTCTAAATTTACTGCACCAAATTAGATTGCAATTAACAGCACAAAATGACTTTTTAGACTATTATCATTGTGTAAAAATACTAAAGTACATCTTTGAAATACTAAAGTACATCTTTGAAATGTCTGCAAAATCCTTAGGAGACGTAAAGGTCTGTTGCTTTGGAGGACTTCTAAAATAGTAGCCCAAATTCAATACCTGCACTGACATGCAACGATGATCTGGTGGCCTAAAAGCAATGAGCCTGCTTTTCTCTGTTCCAAAATTGTGCAACAGGCAATTTATATATCCCTTTGTCAGATTGTCTTAGTGTCTTAATGATGTTTGAATGTAGCATATACCAAAAGCACTTAAAAAAAAATTGAAACTGACAAGCTCTTGAACTGAATTCCTTGCTAGTTTGTCACATCCCTGAGTAATGAAAGTGAATGCAATGGCCAGACTTGTTTTGTGGCAGCGACATACCACTTTGAGCTGTTGGAAGAGGTCTCAAAGCATCAGCTGATACGTCACCCCGAAGACTTGTTGAAACAGTGCCCCTCAAACCTTCACCATATCATGAGGTTTTTATACAATGTAAGTCAGATATGTTCCCCTCACTTAGTCCGAAGAGTAAAGAACTTCAGCCTCTGTTTCAGAAGCGAAGATGACCTCCTCAGTTATCCAAGTTCATTCAATTAGTGGTTAAGAATTCCTAATTTAAATACCTCTGGGGAAAACATAAGCTCTTTAGAAGAGATACTTAGACAAGTTAATCGTGATTCATATTAACAGCAATTTGTAAAAGCTTGGTTTCACTTGAAGATTACATCTGTTGTTAAGAAGTGTTAACTTGAATAGGCAGAGACTGTGGTGATTGCGTATATTATCTACACCCTGGGGGAGCTGCTCTATGTTGTTATTATTTGAGGCAAGTTCATACTGTACTACTGAATTTGGATGCAGAACTTCCAAAATTGTGGCAGTATTTACACCAAGTCTCAAAGTTGTGACACTTTCCAAATCATGCTTGGCGTGGTTTGTATAAAATGGGATGGCACCATTTGTCCTCTTCTAGGATGAGGGTTTGTGGGCAATTTAAATAACAAATGCAAAACATGGACCATACCCTAAATTATACTCGGTAGCTTGTAGGATTTTCTATGGTGAGGCAAGGCAGGGCTCTTTGCTGGCTGTCTGAGTAGGTGCCAGCACACCATGGTGCTTCAGCTACCTCAGTGTTTCATCTTCCTCCTGGAGACAGATACTGTGGGAGTTGCTGCTGAGTGGATGGGTAAACATTGGGAAACTGCTGATCTGTAACAGACTGAATGGGGGACTGGTCTGTGGCAGGCTTTGAGTTCATAAATGTGTATCTCTTCCAGGTACAGATCCTAGCTCCCCACCTGTGTTGCAGGGCTCCATGTTACCAAAGAACTAGTAACGGGAAGAAAACTGACCATGGCTGACTCAGGATCAGTGAGCCTGTTACAATGAGAAAATGCTTCTTTTTGCCCTTTATAGTTTTTATCTTGGGAGGGCAGAAGGAAGTAGAATTACTCATAGACTAACCACACAATGTTTTGGGTTGGAAGGGACCTTAGTTCTAATCCGCTGCCACAGAGAGGAACACCTTCAACTAGAGCAGGTTGCTCCAGGCCCCATCCAACCTGGCCTTGAACACTGCCAGGGATGGGGCAGCCACAGCTTCTCTGGGAACCCAGTGCCTCACCAGCCTCACAGGGAAGAATTTCTTCCTAATGTCTCATCTCAGTCTCCCCTCTGTCAGTTTAAAATCATTTCCCCTTGTTCTCTCCCTACAAGCTCTTGTGAAAAGTTCCTCTCCAGATTTCTTGTGCGTTCCCTTTAGGTATTGTAAGACTGTTATATTTTCCTCCTTCTTCCTTTTACTTGCTTTCCTGGCTGGGACTTTATCCCCATGCAAACACTGAAGAATAAGCTGGATTGCAGGGATGGTGCTGTCCTTTACCTAACCTAGGGTCGTGTTGCAGGTGGGCCACTGCTGCAGGCAGCCAGTGCGCACTGGTCAGGCTTCAATGTGGTAGAGCATATTGCATTGGCCTCCTGTCCTGTTTGTGCACTGGCATCTCTGGATCCTGTTCCTTGCTCAAAGTGTGGGCATCTGCGTATCAGGGCATTTTCATACTGATGCTGTGTTCCCTTTGTGCCACTAGTGCATGGGGGATATGGAGGGAGTTAGATAACTGAATGTCAGCAGGTAAGGTTACTGTCTTGCTTTCAGTGAAGTAAGCTCCTGCTGTGTCTATCCAAAATGATACCTTTTGGGGTTCCTATTTACTACTAGTTGGAAAGAATAATAACAAAATATAAATTGTAGCCATGTCTGTCTCCCTGAATCTAGTTGTTTCCAGACCTGTGTTCATGTCATTGGAGTCAGGCATATGATACTCTCTTAATCAGGGTGTTAGAAAAGTGCTTTACCCAGCTTTGTGTTATCCTTTCAGCCTACACTGAAACACAAAATAGGCTAAAACATGTAAATATTTAACTCAGGAAGCTGGGTTGAGGAGTGCTGTGTTTGCAGTTATGCTGATGCGTCCATGGACCCCTGAGGTGCAGCGGAAAAACAACAGGGAAAGATAGAGGACAAATATGTTGGTGGCAGTAGAAACAGGGCACGTATCTTCCTGCATAAATTGTCTCAACTTCAATTTGAGACTTACGAGCCTCACACTGGAGTAAAAGTTAAGCTTTTGGGGAAATCTTCAAGAACAGAGGTCCCCCAGCCTCTCAGGACACTTGCTCCAGTGGTGGACCAGCTTCATGGTGAAGATCATTTTCCTTTGCATCCACTTATGGTTGCCCCTGCCATCATTCCCTCTCATCCTTTCAGCATAAGATACTGAACAGCCTGGCTTTCTTCTCTACAACCCCCTAAAGGTAGCTGAAAACAGAATTGGTTCCCCCCAGCCTTTCCTTCTCCACACTGAAAAACCCAGCTCCTCCTATGTCATGTTCACATTTAGTGTCATGACTAAATATTCTGAGATCTGGAATAATTATTTTCACACAATAGCTCATTTTAAACAAATTATGAGCACTTACAATGCTTTTTATTTTTCTTTTTTTTCCACTGGGTTTGATCACTTCCTTGAGTCCTTTTGTCCCTGAGGGCAACGAATGGCCTCACCCAGTCAAGTCTATCGAAGCAAACCTGAAGTGTAACCAGCAGAAGACATGAAAAGGCCATTTTCTGCGATTACCCATCATGAGTCTGCCTGCTGAGTCTAAGCACAAAGAGGCTGAGGTTAATGGGCAGAAGTCAAGGGCTCTGAGAGCTTCCTTTTTCTCTACTTCTTTTCCACCTTTCTACAGGCTTTCAAAGACTGTTGCTGCCTGCCCTGCTCCCTGCAGGCCTGCCCTGCTCCCTGCAGCCCTGCCCTGGAGGACTGCTTTCTGACCATGAAGAGCTAGGAGCTTTGCTAATGCATCTGCTGCTTCTTGAGTAGCCTGACCTCAGGCCTTGAAGGACGCTCACCTGGTGAGTCAGCGGGCTGATTGTAGCCATCCTGTCCTCCTCCAGCTCTGGTTGCATGTTGGCTGCAGGCATACCAAGCACTGATCCCAGCTTCCTTTTCTCCTTGCCGTAACAGGATAGGATCTGACCTTCTCCTTTAGACAATAAAGGTACTTAGAGATCTTTTTAAAAGTTGATGCCTTAATGCATTGTTTTTCGTAACTGGCAGCCTTATATAGGGACTCAGCTCAAGTCACTTGCCCAGTCTTTGAGCCTGAGTAAAGAAGGGTATTTTATTTTCCATGTTATTGCTGTTCTGTGTGATATTGATGGACACTGTGAGTTGTGAACGTGGCTGAGCTTCATGGGTGTGATTTCTGTCATTACTTTAGCCTAAGTGAAAACAAAATGTAAGGCAGTGTGGACAGTGAGAGCTGAAGGAGAAGCTGCTGTACAAGGCAGTAATTAGTAGTTAGCCTGGCAACCTTTTGCAAAAATTGAATTTTTATGGCCCAACGGACTATTTAGTGACTTAGTACAAACACAAAAGCTAGGTCACAGGCTTGATATTGCTGTGTGGGCTTCAGGGCAGAAAGCAGTCCGGAAGTCAAGAGAGGCAGCAGACTGCAACAAGGCTGGGAGAGCTTAGCTTTAAGAGGAAGCAGAAGCAGAATTCCTCCAGGCATTGGACTCTATAGAAGCAGATCTGAAAACTGTTGTCAGACAACTTGCTGCTGTATTTGTCTCTCAGACAACACGATTTCGTGTACACTGTTTATAAATAAACACGATTGTGCCAACGGAATGCTGAACTTTCTGAATCTCTTAATAGAGTATTCTGGCAATGCATGTGATAATTGCTACATTTCCCAGACTGAGCCCAATACATCTGTCTTTCTGCAAGTATCTTTCAGTACAACTTCCCTGCAAACAGCCAAAACTTTTCCCCGCGTCTCATTACAGCTTTACAAAAGCCTGGATAACAGAAATGATTACTTTGCTGCTTGATATGGAAAAGCTATTGACAGCGGGGCTGTGAAAAGCTGAACGCTGCAGTGTGGGACTCTGGCTGGTCCTCAGGGTGGATAAGCCCACCTAGAGAGAAACCCCATGACCTGGTGCTTCCTGGCCATGCAGCATGCTCATTGAAGTGGTCAAGTAAGGAGATTCCCAGGGCTCAATTTCTGCTCATTATGAAGTTGTGAGATGGCTCTGGGCTTGAAGTCTGCTCATAGTGTGTATCCTGAATGTGCTTGTGTTCCGTGCTCTGTAGAGTAAAAAAATTCAAGCTTTAGGCATGAAATTGTTTTTTTCCAATACAAATGCACTCATTTCCACTTTTGTCTTCCTTCTAAACTGGTCTCTTCGTTTGGCTATTGTCTTTGATCTGGAGTGTGCATAGTGCCTCTTCTGGGCTTTTCCTGTTTTCTGCCTTTCAAGAGGCATTCTGGCTTTTATTGTGTTCACATCAAAGTCTTAGAAGTGTTTCCTCAGTGAGAATTACAGGTCATCAAGACAGCAGTAACCGGTCTAGTTATATTATTATTATTTATATCTTGGATAGGAGTAGAGCAGGTACTCTTGAGTCTGGTCTGTAGTATGGTGAAATCAATAGGAAATGATCCTTAATTAATTGGGCTTCTGTTCCTAATGTAATTCAGCACTTCCACTGAGAATTAACTCCTCAGCCTCCCTTGCTGAGTAAACATCACAATAAATAATATAAACTGTTGATTTCAGAAGGGTTTGTTTTCCTTAAATGAAAAGGAGCTTTTGTTAAAGTTTAAATTTTTTATGGAGCTATGCCTCTGGGCATTTTAGACATAGGATGAATAAAAAATGATCTCTGGTTTTATTTAGGAAGCCATTCCTGTGCATATAGGGGTTTGTAATTTTGAAATGAAATTTTCATAAAACCTTTCAGCCCAAGGGACCAAGTGGGATCTTCAGATTTAAGAATTTTTAACTATTCTGCCACTCAGTGAATCCCTGAGCAATATGTCCAAGCCAAAATCTTTGTCTTCCGTCCCTGAGCACTTTGAGTTTTCCCATGTTTACTGGGAGTTGGCTCTATATGTCTTTCCATGGTAATACCTGCAGTGTGCAATTAATCCAGCAAAACCAGGCAACTCCACAGACTACTAAAAGCTACTAATTAATTCTAACTTCAAACATTCATAAAGGCATGTTCCATCAGATCATGCTGAAGCTTACAGAGAGGGTTGTTATTTGTCAGAGCAAAAACAACTTAAAACAACTTCCAAAGTGTCAGGTCTCTCCAACATCATGGTTCTTCCCTAAGTTGTCAGTACTGTGCTCTTTTCAGGCTGCCAGGTAGGAGTGGATGAGCTGGCTCATGTACCATGAAACCAGCCCCATCTTCATCCTTGCATCCCAGCCTTCAAAAGACAGCAGGATTGTGTAAGGATCTGTGCTCATACAGCATCTGAGATGCAGCTTCCTTTCACCTACCTCCTTCGTCCCCTTCCTCCTGGCCCTGCTTTTTCATTTCTGACAACTTGCTTGTATTGTGTGGGATGCTGGAGGTGGAGGAAGAAGCCCGGAGAGAAATCCCAGTGCTAACTTTGCACATCGGCTGCCACCCCATGAGCACCATCTAGCTGACTCCTAATACAACAGCATGGGAGGCTGAGCAGGTGCAGACACTGAAATTCAATGGAAGGAGCTTTCCATGCTACAGGCTGGGATGTAAGCTGTAAAAATACTGTGAAGCACCTGTAAGCCTGATATCCATATAAACTGCTTGTCACAAGCACACGTCTGGTTGTCTCACGGTGCAGCAATGTGGCAAAAGCATCTTCTGCAGTGGAGTGTCTGCACAAAACAACTTTCCCAGGCTAAGAAGCAGGGTTTTTCACCTTTTGTACTGTATAAATATCAAGAGTATTGCATCCCATTTGTTTTCAGCTGATCAATTCTCTGTAAATACAGCACTATGCTGAGGAAGAAGCACTGAACTGAAGCCTGAAAACCTCCTTTTGAATGCACTGTGTGATTTCTCATCTGAGAAACAGGATTGGGAACTTATTTATACCATTTTTCTTCCAAAAGCATTCTGTAAAGATGACTGAATTACTTCTTGTATAGTAATATGAAAATGAAAAATTCTGTCATAGGAAGGGGTTTTACTCCCTTTTGAAGGAGAACTGTAGTTCCCTGGGTTGTTTTTTTTGTAGGTTTGGTGGGGGTTTTTGTGGTGGTGGTTCTTGCAGATTTCACATTTCCAATCCTGATATAAAAATTTCCCTGGAATGATGACAGCCTACCATTCTAGAAGTACAGCTTGTTGTTAGTGTTAGCACTGCACTGATATGTGTGTTGGGGGGACTGATTTGCATTGTAGAAATGGAGAGATCAGGGATCCACTGCACTGAGCACAACTGTGAACTATGAAATCATATCTTCTGTGTCTCTTCCAGCTTAAGCAGGCATCTGTTCATTCTTTTTTTTTTTTAATTCATATCCATAGCTCATGGGTTCATCTTTTCCCAGGCAAAGACAAAATACTGGCTTTCCTTACTTGTATTCTGCTTGGCTGACTTCAGTGCAGAATCGTGGCGTGAGGAAAGATGCTAGGTGGGAATTGGGGGAACATTGCGAGGAAGTGTGGACGGATTTTGTTATTTAGTATATGAAGAGCAGCTTACAGTCTGACTGCTGTTCATCTAGATTAGAAAATTTCAGATTACATTAGGCATCTCCCTGTGAAAGTTTATATTTCAAATGAACAAAAAATATTGAGCACTGAGTGTAGCAGGCACCTAGTTGTATGGCCCAAAGACTCCAGAGTGAGAAGCATGTAATTAGTCATCTGCCCAGTAAATGCATGAAATTTAAGAGTTACTTATGTGAGCTACATTGATGGATTCTATGAACAGTGCAGCTTGAAATTTTTTTGTTATTAAAGCCAGGAGGAACTGGAACCACCTGTAAAAGTACACAATATCAGCTCACACATCCCTCAGGTGCACAAATGTCAATCTCGAGCATGAGGAGACAGCAACTGACTACACCACCAGCAGCTACATTCAAGTCTGGGTTATGTTACGGTTTTTTCTCTTTCAGGCTGTCTCAGTGTTTTTTAAGGAAGGATGATAAAATACCTTAGAAAAATTTATACCTTGCCAGTTGATGGGACCAGCTTTCACTTGATAGGGGAGCACAGTTGTGCCTTCCACACAAAGGTGCTTTCTGCATCAAGTTGGCTGTCCCCATTAGCCACACTCTGGATACCACTGTTTCAGTTACTGATCTCTGCATGGTGCTGCTAGTGAATTTATGGCTTGCCCACTGCCTGCACTCCTCCTTAACTGTTACTGTTATTCTCTGTCCTATCAAAATCGATTTGGTTAGTAGTGCTTCATTTGAGGCTTGCTCTAGTTCATGTAGTAGTGGCTGGATGATTTGAAATGACTTTGGCAATTGTCTCCTTGCACTGGCCAGTATCATTGAAGCTGTAAGAGTTGGGTGTGAGTTGGTAGACTCATCCACTGTGCTAGACTCTTTATACAGCTAATGTTTAATTCAGTCCAAGCAGAGATTCTTCAGAGCTAAACAGCATGAGGGTTGGCAGCACTAGTAAATACCTGTAACTAATGTTACCTTCAGTAAGTAACATGTTAGCAAAGCTTGCTTCTTGACAGCTGGCTAACTCCTGCCATTAGCAAGAACCTGGTTCTGCAACCTGCAGGAGAATTACTACAGGGTTTACCAAGGCAGGCTAGAAATATTTTTATTTTTTTAAGGGAATAAATGATAATTTATAGATATATTCATTGTGGAATTGGTGTCTTGTTTCTTTGAGAAAAATTGTATCTCTTCTTTCACTTTTTCAAATACCTAGTTTAAAAATGACTTCCTTCATCTCTAGCCATCCCTTAAGGTTTCTTTTAAACAGGGTTGTTTTAAGCATAAAAATTGTGTGAAAGCCTGCAGGTGATCCTCATATCAAAAGACTTATGTGATTTTTATTTCCTGGAACGCACTCCCCAAACACCTCACTTGCAGGGCTGAGTTCTTCTGTGCAGGAGTGAGAAGCAGTGGTCCTTTTTAAAATGTTCTGCCTTCAGTGACTTGAAACATGCTATAAGAAGTCACAGACACTCAGGTACTGATGCAATTAAAGATGTAAATGAATGCCTACATGGATAACAGTTACTGACTTAAATTTTGTGTATGTTGACCTGGGAGTTAGGGCAGGCATATATTTCCAATCCCCCTTCACCTGCATGGTGATGCTTCTCCCATGAAGGGCTTGTGTGCTACTAAAGAGCTAATGCAGGAGAACTGGGTTTCTCTCCCTCTCCATGTCTGATGCTCCCAGTCTGGCCTTTGGCGAATCTCATGATTTTTCCTGGTGTCATGCTTGATCAGTGATATAGCAGTAATGGTGTCTCTCTTCTTCCCTCAGTTGTTGCATGAAGGAATTTATTGGTATTTGTAAGAGAGTCCAGTATGATGAAGGGAGCATATATATTCTTTGCTCCTAGGGGAGCAGTCAGTTAAATGCACACAGGGCACAAAGACTGAGTAAAATACGAAACATCTATGAATTTATTCCTTGTAATTGCATTCCATATCATACGTTTCAGTACCTTCTTGTAAAATAGTGCATAATCTTTAATGAATACAAAACTATAAGGTCTCCTTTGGATTTAAATTCTAAGTGTTTGGAGAAGTCTAGCTCACTCAGATGACTTCATTGGCAAATCAAAATGCACACGCATATGTACCTTTCAGAGCTTAGTTTTGTAAACAAGGCATCATGTTCTTCTCTCGGGGAAGCTGGCGTAACTCTGTGGTAACTTCAGTAGATTTACTATTTGGATAACTGAGAGCAGCATTTGACCTGAAGACTCCAGAGTGGGAAGCGTGTAATTATTCATTTGCCCAGCAAGTGCAGTGTACTTGGAAAATGTAAAACTAGAGTAAAAACTTTGTGCTTATCAATTTTTAGTCTGTCTTAACATGCACATTTTTCATCCCTCTCTCATTCTTTTCTTAGTTAAGAGTCCTTTTACATGCTTGCACATCAGGGATCTCACAGAGTCTTCCTTTTCCAGATACAAAGTCTTAGTGCTATTTTTATGTGGACAAAGCCCCATCAATTGTGCTTAGTAAGAGATTATGAACAGGTAGAGCAATGGTCTTATCGGGGTCTCAAGGGCTTTGAAATATTAAGTTTGATTTCTGTTGGAAGTTTTTCCTATTACCTGCTTTTCCAATGAAAACATGCTCAGTGAAAGGAATGCCTTATAAATGGCTTCACTGCTTTAAAATCACTACAAAAATTCCCAGCTGATAGACTGTGTACTGTGACTGTCAGTCAACGACAAGTGAATATATTCACTTATCCTACAATACCGTAACCTTAATATACGATTATTTTCCTTTGTGCATTGGAGAGGGATTTCTGTTGTTCAAGCAGCAGCATGCAGTCACATGCCACAGTTGAGCTCAGTTGCCTACCACTCTTTAAACATTTAGTAGCTCTGGGTGTCCAGTGTTGTCTGACCTTCATTTTTTCCTCAAACAGCATATTCTGGGACTTAGATTTTTAATTTCTTTCAGTCACTGAAACAGATATACTGGTGGGGCTCAAAATTTTAAATTTCAAATTATAGGCTAAAGGTAAAATCATGGATAAAACTTCCTTGAGAGCTCCAAGTTTAAATCCTTTGAGCATTTAAAAAAATGTATAGGGGCTACTATAGGCTACTGAAAACATACTTGAAATGCCTGCGAAAAATCCCAGGTGGAATAAGTGTAAAGGCCTCATCTTCTGAAATACAATGTTGTTATATAGAAGTTGATACAGAACTATTATAAGTAAAGTGCATTAGCACATCCAGAACTAATGGTGACCTTTGCTTCAAGCAACACTTGCTGGATTTGAAATAACATTTCTTGCTGGAAACAGATTGCGTTTTACCAGGGAGGAAGGACATGCAGGCAGAAGAAGGTAGGTGCTGACTTTCACTGTGCCAGGGCAGGATGTAAAAAAAGGCAACAGATCCTGAGAGTTAAGCCAGGATCATACCTGGGACAGATGTTCACTCACGATTTTGATAGTATTTTTCATCAATCAGACATTACAAAACAAGATTTAAAAAAATAAAAAGGAGGAAAGGAGAAAAGCACTATGTATGATCCCTTGAAATTAGAGTTGATGGCTTTGACACATTTTGGATTCAGTGTCAATCTTTGCATGAGACCAGGTGGAGGCGTTTGAACCTGTGTTCAGAGCGTGTTGGGCTTTTTTGGGTTGGAATTGTTTTGTTTTGAGGTTTGTTGTTTTTTTTGCTGTAACATTACAGGTTTGGCATCTCCCTGAAAATGCAGCACAATGAGAGTTCTGAAGTCTGCAAGTCAGAGATCAGTGCTGAGGACAAGATCTCAAGACTCCCTGTTTCCTACAATATACAGCCTGTCCCTGCCTATTCCTGGTTAAACCAAGGAGAAATCGTTGAGGACAAGCACTTCAGCACATCAGCTGCATTGTCTCAAAGTAAGCTTCTCTTACCAATGCTTCCAGCTGTCTCAGTCTGCAAGTTCCTTGCTTGCTTTAGTCCCACAACTTTTAACTGGCATCAAAACTCAGTGGCAGGCACTGTTTTGTTTCTGTTTATGCAAGGTCTGACTCCTTCTCTGTGTTAGTATGGCATCAGCAGAGGTCCATGGCAAGGCATGACTACTGTTTGGGGGCTAGCTGGAGCCTGAAAGGACCACACAGGCTGTGATCCGGAAGCAGAACAATAAATGTTATACTGGGATGAGGCTAGGTTTCCTTACGGATAATCTTGTCACTATTAGCATCCTTCACTCCTTTGGTTTAGAAAAAGAAAAAAAAAATAAAACAAAATAGGCAGGGGAGAAGGAGAGAAAAGGGAATGCTTCACTGATATATTTAAGCTGTGGTATGATGGCTCAGTTTTCAATCTCTTCTCTGATAACCTCAGAGAGGAAAAATACTGTAAGAATGAATTGGACAATGTGTGTATTGCTTGTTACACAATGGGCTATTATTTCTCACTGCATGTGTACTTGCCATTAGAAAAGTTTTAAGGATAGCATAAAAAACGAGGTGACAACTGCCAAAGGCATTTTAAGATTAACAAGCATAATTGCACTTCCAGATGGAGAGAAGTTCAGAAACAACTTGCTATTTTCTGACCTAAGGGTGATGTGTTTGGTTTCTGGGAGAAGCATTTACTTCCTCATTCAGTAGCTATACTTTTATTCCTTCCCCACTTGCCAGTTTGTTGCTGCAGCAGTGGCATTGCAGCCACTGCATTGGCACAGCATCTGGAGGGAGCTGTTCGTCTGTTTTATGAAGATAAGGTTGCCTTGTGGAGGATGCTGAGCAAGGGCAGGGGAATTGAGGCAAGGGAATGGGGCATCAGGCAGCAGGTACAAATAAAGTGAGACAAACACAAGCACTTGGTTCTCAAATGAATCCTTATGTTTGCAAACTGATTAAAAGCTGAGCTGTTTTCTTTATTGAGGTGAGGAGCAGGGCAAAGTGAGACTGCACTAAAGGTGATAAGGAGAAGTGCCTTTTTGTATAGGTAGGAGTTTAGATACGATTATTCTTTTGGGAGAAGCTTTTATGGTCATTGTGGGAAGGTGAAAGCTGATTCTCAAAAATCCCTTCTGTGTTGCCTGCTTTTTCTTTCAGATAAAAAGCTCTTCTTCATTTTCAAAGAAAGCCCATGTCTCCCCTTGACATAAAATTACACTGCTTGCTTGCAGGTTACCTGCTTTTAAGAACACCATGCATCAGACTCTTTGGTCAGTGTTGTGTGATCAACCCCAAAATTAAATTCATTCACTGCCACTTAGCATCAGATATTAAGTCATTTTACAGAAGAAGCAGTTAGGCAGACCTTCTGCCTCATGTTCCATGATCATGTAATAGATGAGAGTACAGAAAACAGATGAAGCAGTGCCTTTACTTCAGTGTCCTTCATGCATTTCTTTCACTCTGCTTTTTGCCTTCCAGTGCGTGTGACACTAGCTTCTGTCCTGCAATCGTTCATCAGTACCATGCATCAGGTACCATGGGTGAACAGATCATAGAATCATAGAATGGTTTGAGTTGGAAGGAAAATTGAAGCTCATCCAGTTCCAGCTGCCTGCCATGGGCGGGGACACCTTCAACTAGAACAGGTTGCTCCAAGCCCTGTCCATCCGGACCTTCAACACTGCCAGGGATGGAGCAGTTGTAGCTTCTCTGGGCAACCTGTATCAGGGCCTCACCACGGTCTTAGTAAAGGATTTTTTCCTAAGGTCTCATCTCAGTCTCCCCTCTGTCACGTTAAAGCCATTGCCCCTTGTCCTATTGCTACAGGACCTTGTCAAAAGCCCCCTTCAGCTTTCTTGCCGGCCCCTTTAGGCACTGGAAGCTGCTCTAAGGTCTTCCCAGGGCCTTCTCTTCTCCAGGCTGAACAGGCCCAGCTCTCTCAGCCTATCTCTAGAGCAGAGCTGCTCCAGCCCTCAGAGAATCTCTGAGGCCTCCTCCAGCCTCTCTCAAGCAGGTCCACATCTTTCTTGTGCTGTTGCCCCCAGAGCCGTACACAGGACTGCAGGCAGGTCTCACCAGAGTGCAGCAGAGGGGGAGAATCCCCTCCCTTGACCTGCTGGTCACACTGCTGGGGATGCAGCCCAGGACATACTTGGTTTCTGGGCTTAAGTACACACTGATGGGTCATGGGGATCTTCTCATCAACCAACACTCCCAAGTCCTTCTCCTCAGGGCTGCTCTCAGTTCATTCTCTGCCCAACCTATACTTGGGCTTGGGATTGCCCTGACCCAGATGAAGGACCTTGAACTTGGCCATGTTGAATGGTCCCTCCTTTTAAGTCAGCAATCACTGGCTGTTGCATTTAAAGGTAAATTAGTATTTATCTCCCTGATATGATGAACATAACTCCTAGTGAGACCAGTATTCCTTCTGCAGTGATCGGTTTTGAAAGAAGTACAATTTGTGGAAATCCTATTGCATTTTTAGAATTTATAATTGGCATGTATCAGTGCCCCAGTTCTCTGCAAATATAATTAATTAGGATTAAAGGTTCTGCACTCATTAGGCAGACAGAGAAATACTGTAGAGAATTTACATTTCTGCATTTAACTCCTAAATGGGATACATTTGTCATCAGTAAGAGTATTGTGGAATCTGCTCTGCTGATAAGACTTCCTGGTCTAAAGTCTGTATCTCATGGTCAAAAGGGAGTGTGTCTTTGGATGTTTTACAAAGGAGCAGCAGCATAAAGATCTAATTAGAGTGTGGTAACTAATTATCAAAAATACAAGATTCCTTACTATAGCATTGGGAAAAAATACCTATTTCAAGAACAAAGCCAACCCCTCTATCCTTCAATTATTTGAGTGTCAGTTTTTTGTGGTTTTTAAGTATTATGACTGATTATGTAGTGTTAAGCAATGATAAAAGCAAAAGGCTTTGAAACAATACAGGCACTCTTTGAGCTTCCTGCAGTTATTGTAGGATACTAGACCATAGAAGCATAATGGCAGCCCTTTGAAGGGGTATACATTTATAAATATTACTTTTCTGAACAATATTTCAGATCAAATTTTCAAGTCTGTTGATCATATTTTAGACTTTGTATGAGCATCAATAAGATGCAGTCATGTTCTAGTACTTAGACATCTTGAATATTAAAACACAAAGCAGAAACAAATATGAAAGTGTGATTATGAGCTAATATTCAGGTCTTCCACTAAGGCAAATCCATTTTATTCTGAGACGCGCAGTCTTTTTTCAACCTTGCTATTGCAAAGCTTTTTTGATGAAAGTAGCACTGACACCCTTGGATTGAAACTTAAAACTACAAACTTTTGTTGCAAGGTAGATTCCAGCATCACCTCTGGCTGCTGTGAAGTGTGCCACTCCTAAGGACTCTTTGTGTGATTCTTTAAGTAACTTAACAGTATAAGGTGATCTGGTCACCTAAAGGATATTGTATAAAGCATTAGTAGCAATGAAAATTGTCAATTCAAGGAAAAGAAAACTTTGCAGTGACCTTTTTTTTTTGTTCTACATTTGGATTTTATGATGCAGATGCATATCTTTATAGTTATGCTGTGGAGATATTTAATCACAAACTACAGTGTTATTTTCAAAGATTAAAGAGGTTTCTAAATCCTTTGTAAAGCACCTTTGAAAAAAGGCATAAATGAATTTTATGAATAGCAAATTTGTGAACCTATAATGCAGTTCTAAAAATTATAATACTGTTATGGTATCGGTATCTTCTAATGAATCGTAAGAGAAATCTGATGGCTATTTCAGTGTAATTTTTTTCTTCAATTTAAATATTCATGATCACCTTTCATTATTTCAACTCCCTGAACATTATGAAAAATGCAGATTATTTCAATTCACTTATTTAAATTTCACATGAAAAGAAAAAGTATTGAATCCTACCGAGTGACCACAATTTCCATACAAGCATCACCCCAGACAGGATTTTAAGTTTGGCTTCAGCATTTTAATTCAAATGTGCAGACTTTCCTCTACAAAAATGACGAAGGCCAAAATCCTACTGTATGGCTCATGATGAAAAGGAGAATTGTTATGATGGTGTTCCACATTTTATAGGGTGTACATTTATCCCGTTATAACACAACCCTCACAAGTCTACACCTCATCTTTCTGAAACCCTACATTTCATTCCCTGGGCGTTCTCATTGCTTTTAGAGAAATGATAGAAAATGACACTCAAGAATGTCATTAATCAGTAGGATTGGTAGGGCCATTAAAGCATTTTTTGGACTGGTAGTATTCCTGGGGCTTGCTCACTGCAAACAGCTTCTGATTTCTGCCATTGTGGCTACCGCTTGCTCACTCTATTTCAGTTTTCATTCTTCCCAGTTCTCTTCAACCCAACCCATTCCTCTATTGCTAAAATTATTATTTCCCTCTGCCTTTCAAGGACTTCTCTTTACTAGCACAGTCCTGATCTTTCTACCCTCCAGGCAGACACTCTTGACGCCATTGATCTGCTTCTTTCCACTTGTTTCTCTTAATTTCACTCCTGTGCTTTCTCTTTCTTCTGTAGAAGAAGAATGGTTCCCTGCCTACCCATAGCACTCTTAGATACCGCCAGGAGCTCAGCCTGCTCTGAGCACACCGTAACAGGATCGATGCAGTGAGCACTTGTCCTCAACAGAGCAGTTTGCTGAGGTCCACTGGGGAGGAGAAAGCTTTCAGACGGGTATCTGCAGGTTTTCTCTTCTATCACTGTCTCTCACCTGGAAATGTTAAGCTACATGAAATAGTAGACATTTTGTGTATTTGTCCCACAAAAAAAGGAAGACTTTGACCTACTGGAGTGGGTCTAGAGGAGGGCCACAGAAATGATCAGACAGATGGAACACCTCTCCTATGAAGAAGGGCTAAGTAAGAGACTTGGGTTTATTCAGCCTGATGAAGAGAAGGCTGTGGGAAGACCTTACTGCAGCTGTTCACTACTTCAAGGGGGCCTACAAGAAAGATGGGGACAAAGTTTTTAGCAAGGACCTGTTGTGATAGAGCAAGGGATAAGGGCTTTAAGCTACAAGAGGGTAGATTTAGGCTAGATATAAGGAAGAAATATTTTACAGTGAGGGTAGTGGAACATTGGCACAGGTTGCCCAGAGAGTTGGTGGATTCCCCATCCCTGGCCGTATTCAAGGTCAGGTTGGATGTGGTTTTGAACAACCTGATCTAGTTGAAGATGTCCCTGCTCATTGCAGGGGAGTTAGACTAGGTGACCTTTAAAGGTCCTTCCAACCCAAACTATTCCATGATTCTATGAGCAGCAATGTCTGCTTCAAGCACCATTGGACAAAATGAGTGAGTCAGAGGAGCACGCCATATACCCTGAAAAATTTTTGTTGTGCAAAATTTCGGGGTTTACAATTTCATTTCCTGAGAAGAGATATTTTACTGGCTGAAGCTGTGCTAAATTATGGAAAAGAAAACCAAGTGCTATAATTGTGGGTGTTTATCACAGTTACAGGTTTTTTTTCTATTCATAGAAATTTGATCTGAACAGGGTAAATCTGTGCCCGCAATACAAATGAGATCATCTGCAAACAAAGTAAATGAAAGAGATGCTTTTATGGCTTCGTTTTATGACTCTTCTGTTTGAGGAGCTAGTCTTTACTTTCCGATTTTCTCATGCAGTGTTTGCTTTAACATGAAGGCATATAATAGTTCTTCAATTAAAACAGTTTTTGTT